AAGCAGCTGAAAACGGAAGAAACGACTTCATCAGAAATGAATGAAAGGAAGCTGCACGTCTATAAGACGGTTACATATGAAGTGTTTCTCATTAGGGAGCTTTGAGCAAACTTTGAAGACTCACAGTTAAAAATGATCCAGATAACCAGAATAATCTGACACCGGGCTGCTGTGCAGACACAGTTCTTCACATTCGAATCAAAGCCGAGTCGGCACTTTTTAACGGCTTCTTTTTAAACCCAGTGCAGTGGTGTAAAAAGGCAAAAGGAGCAAACCTACAGTTACAGCTGACTGAGCGTGGCACAGATCTCTCTGTGAAATCAATTTTCTTTTTGTTCCCACAGTGACCTCTGATGTCTGCAAACCTCTGGGCCAAAGATCACCTCAGCCTCCCTCACATCTCACCAAAGTCCTGCTGAGGCCAGATGAAGGAGCCAATAAGGAGAAATGTGTTTGTACTCCGCAGTTCAAATCATTCCCACGTTTGACTGACGGTGCTGATATGCTACTGACCATGACACTAGCAAATGAACTTATGTGATATTATTGGACTGATTGAAAGAACATTTCTCACTGAATGCTGTGAGTTTGTGCAGAGTTTGTGAAATGTGCCCTGATCTGAGCTTTAAACTCATCAACTTTCATATGGAGTGTGCACACCTGTCTGAAGGTACACAGGTGGAGAAATGTTGTCTTCTTCAATCCAGCAATAAATTTTATGCAATCTAAACCTGTCTGTGATTATTATTTGTTGGTCTGCGGCTGTGAAACAGTTCACCTACTGAACCCCAAACAGGACAGAAATCCAGTTCTCCCAGCAGACCCATTAACAGAAGATCAGTAGTGTTTAAGGATGTTTAAGGGTGAGAGCAGGAGAGGAGGGCGGGGCTAAAAGAGACCCTGTTGGTGGAAGACGTGAGTCAGACCAGCATCAGAGAGTATCAGAGGAACAAAGGGGCCCATTCCCCCTCACAGTTTCCTGTGTGTGTGTGTGTTTGTGTGTGTTTGTGTAAATGCATCTCAGACTCTTTGTTATCACAATTTTTCGACTTCACTTCAGATCCACAGGTCTAACAGGACAATGATCCCAAATACACAACGATCTCCACACGATATTGAAAGTTTGTGGGCTGCACATAAAAGCCACATCTGTGCGACACCACCAGACTCCACCCAGACCGTGACACTGGCAGTTTCAGGGGAAGGATGAGGAATGTGGGTCCTTGGTCAGGAAAAGCTCTCCGTGTTTTTATGGTCGCAGCTCGTTTTTGATGCTAAATGGATCTCGTTCTTCTTTAAGGTGTTCCAGCCAATCACACACTGACAGCACTGCACCTGGTGATATCAGGGTTCACACTGTAATGCTGCTGGGCGCGAATGAGCACATTTCTCATCATATTTAGGCGTCACATTCAAACAGCGTTTCAGCGAGTCGTCACATATTGCAAATAACCACCAAATACAGAAAAACAGGAAGCACATCACAGGCTCGCCCTCAGCCCCAGGTGTGTGTTGTGTGATCCAGGCTGAAATTTGGCTGCAGATTCCCTCATAAAGACACTTTGTAGGAAATATTAAAGGTGGAAACATAACACAAGCATGCAGCTGAACTGGGTCAGGTGATATATGGACCCACAAAGCATTTTGACCCATTACTGATCTCACTGAAGCCTCATGTTTACCATTGTAATCTAAAAACTTGACCATCCTCCTCTTCCTGTTATCTACGTTTCAAGGCAACAACTACAACTGACCTGTTCTCTCTTGTGAGCTGAGCCGTGTCTCAGGAAGAAAAAAGATAATGAAGGTCAGCTTGCTAACATGCTTGTGGTGTTAATATGCCAGTGTGTACAGGTGTAATAACATAACATGTAATGTAATAACAGTGTTGTTACACACACACAGGAAGTGTCTCCTCAGTCGTGGCCTCTGCTAACGTGTTATTCTGAGGATATGTAAATGGTGAATAATGGTTTAAAGTAACTTTCAGTGTTTGTGTAAATGCGGGCAGGTCGCTCCTTTTTATTTGTTTGTGGTGTGATAAACATTTCACATGCTAATCAGCCCTTTAGTTGAGCGATGCTGCTCCTGGGAGCATACTGCTGCAGGGCGCGGCTGCTCCCGCTGTGTTTGTTTTCCCCCTGATGTGGCCACAGTGGTGTCGGGAGGGTGTAGTGGTGTGCTTGTCCTTGTGTTTGCACGTGTGTTAGTGGGTGAGACATAGAAAAGTATTTTATTACTGCATCAGGACATAGCCATGTCCACAAATGGACATTGCTGGGGCATTTCTGGTGCATTTCCGGAGCATTCCCCCAGAAAGGCTGGAGGATTTGGCCGGGCAGAGGGAGGTCTGGGCTTCTCTGCTGAGGCTGCTGCCGCTGTGCCCCAGATAAGTGGAAGATAATGGATGGGTGGAACCTCATGCTTTATCGGGAATCAAACGCAGGTCTAACAGTTTGGGGATGACAGCCAAAGGAAGGAGATGAAGTAATTAAACTACAAGTAAAATTGCACTTTGCATGAATTTCAGTCTTTGTAATTTTGCAAACAAATGCACATTTTACTCAGTTGTTTTTGGGAATGTTGATTAAAGAATAATACTCTGGTGTTTTTACTGTACCTGTAATATGGACTCTTACCAGGAGCAGTTCAGAAAGAGATCAAATGAATACTAGAGTAATTAAATGAGCTCAGCTTATTGAACAGTCCCAGTTTCTGCTGATAGACCATTAAATGAGCCCTGAGGAGTAAACAGCTGCTCCTTGTTCTCTGAATCACTCACACAGCTCATAGAGCTCCTGTTACAACAATAACAGACACAGCACTCTTTCACTACTTCCTGCTTTCCAGTTCAGTTTCCTTCCACCCAGACAGAAACTGCACGTGGAGCTCGCGTTCCCCCCTCACACACTCTTCACCCTGCTGCAGGTACCGGAGCATTCGGGCCCTCACTGCCAGACGGGGGAACAGTTTCTTCCCCAAACTGTCAGACTCCTGAACACTGTTGCACTTTTCCATTGCACAGTTGTGTGTCTGTGTCGTTCTGTCTGGTGTTGCACTGTCTTTGTTTTTTTGTGCACATTTTGCAGTTCTTGCACCACTGTATGTGGTTCTGTGTCGGTCGTCTGTTACATGTCTAATAATAATACATCTAATAATGCTGGAACACAGCATGTGTCAGGGAAGAAGGAAAAGTACAACACGTCCACTTTATGCTGTCACACATTCTTGTGTTTTGCATTTACCTTCTGTTTGAACACAGACACAGAGATGCAGAACAAAAACACAGAGTGAGAGCCTGTGGCTGCCTGCAGAGATGAGGTAGCCTCATAATAAAGAGCCTGGAAACAACAGTCCAAGCTTCTATTCAGACAGCATGTTACTGTCGTTTAAACTCTATTCACTCAATCACATTCATGCAATGACTGCATGCAGCTTTTATTTAAAGGCCAAACATGAAGGTAGACTGTTCGCAGTCTGAGAGTTTGTAAGCGTTTAATGAGCGAATGTAAAGTTGAGTCACAGTACGTGTTTTGACTTTGTAGCTAATAAAAACCTCACACACAGATTGTGTTTGCACTGCACACTCCTTAAATCATCCTCGATAAGGAAACCGTGTCTGTGGTTCACCACATCACACACGTGTTGTTCCCTTTCTAACCTCACTGCAGAAAAGCTACAGTTCCCTCTGCCAGAGCAGCGCTGCATGAACACATGTTATATGCTGGAATGTGCATTAGCCTGACCTGCAGATTTCTGAGGAATCATAGAAAAAGAAAAAAGCTTTAACGTAGAACCAAATATTTGTAAGAGCCATGCTGCTGTTCGCTGAAAGTACTCAGCTGGTCTGATACTGCTCTGCTCAAAGGCACTGACTCGTTTCGGCTCAAAGTTATTCACTGTGAGAAAAACTCTGTCAGCTCTTCAGCTTCACCTTCTGAGACGTTTGCAGCACAAATTCAGCAAAAACAAAGGTTAGACACAACTTTCAGCTGAAAGTGATGAAAAAGATGAAAATGATGAAAGGCTGTTTGAAACAGACATCAGGGGAAACAAGCTGCAGTGACAGACAGACAGGAGCAGTAAGAGGTACTGTGCAGTGTGGTGGTAAAACTCTTGTATGATGTCAAACCCTCTGACTCCAGCAGTTCTTTCTCAGTGATTTGCTTCATCAGTCTTTACTTTGGATTATTGGGATTATGGAGAATGACTTTTGGAAGACTCCCTGATGCTTGTTTCTTATGTTGAGCTGGTAGAAAATAGAAAACATGTGTGGAAGTTTGATTCTTTGAGTCTTGTGCTCAGCTTGGCTGTGACTCATTGCTGCTGCTGTGGGTGATGAGGAGGGAACTTAAAGCTCCCTGCAGCGGCCCACCGGTCTGTGAGTGCTTCGTTAGGATTTCCTTTATCAAGCTTTGTTTCAGGATCTGCGTTTGACTGCCTGCTGCTGGAGCTGTGACATCAAAGGAAATCACTCGAGCACATTACCCTGGATCAGGTTTGGAGGAAATACTTATGGACTGAGTGTTATTTGTTGATGTATTTTTGGCCTTTGGCTTTGAAACAGTTCTCCAACCGAAGCCCCGAAACAGGGCAGTAGCACATAAAACCCATCTCTATCAAAAGTGTTCAAGGAGTGTGTGAGAGCAGCAGCGTGACAGGAGGGCGGGGCTAAAAGACAGAGAAAGGAAGAAGTGAGTCAGACCTCGCAGTCTCCTGTGTGTGTGTGTGTGTGTGTGTGTGTGTGTGTGTGTGTGTGTGTGTGTGTGTGTGTGTGTGTAAAAATGCATCTCGTGGACTCATTGTTACCAATGATAACATTATTATCACGTACCCCTGTGACTCCGATAAGGCCCATCACCGTCATGAGACAACAAAACAATTCTGCTCATTCAGATCTGAGAGTAGAAAAAAACAAACTGACGAGCTGTAATCTGCTGCAACATTTTATAGCATTTGAAAGTTTGAATCAGTGAACTGCAGCAAGAGAAAGACCACAGTGTGAACAGTGTGTTTATTTAATCTGTCCAACTCATAAGTTTTAACAAACTAAAATATAAACAAAGGAAACAGATCAAAAGAATGGATATAATTTATTTCAGTTTAAAACACACTGAGATTTATCAGTTTCCTCATCAGCAGGTTTTTGGTTAAATGTTTGAAATAAATTACTGTTTGGTTTGGGTGAGCTTCTAGATGGCATACAGCTGGCTAATGCTGCTAATGCTAACCTAAGGAGAAAGCGTCTGGACTTTGAGTCTGGACTCCAGTTTCTTGAAGACGTTTCATCTGAGAAGTTTCTTCACTTCTAAGAGCAACTGGAGGAAAGTCCCAGATTTGAACCCCTATGGGAGTGTCCTCAAGAGGGTCAATGACCTCCTATTGATCCTCTACCTAATCACAAGAGCCAAGCTGTGAAAACAGGGGATTGTGGGTAACAACCAGTCAAGGTTTCAGGTGAACCTGCTGTGAAACCTCGCCCCACCATATCATGTGATTTCCTGAGGTCAAAAGGCCCAGGATGTGCTCTCCGAGCTCCTTAGACTACGGCGACCTGGATGACTGAGAACCTTCACAGATATATTGCTAATGCTAATGTATTCCAAGCTATCCTACATAGCAGCTAACTTCCGAAGCTTAAGCTTATCTAGCTTTGCCTCCGACATCACAAAATACTATTTACACAGCATGACATCATCAAAGTGGATTCATGTCGAGCTTTTCTCACTGAACAGAACGTGTCAGTATGATAAAGCCTCCCATTAGCAGTACTGCTGCAGTCACTCCTGAGCTACAGCTAACCACAGAGGAAGTGAGTGATGCTAACTTCCAGGCTGATCTACAGACGTTCGTGCTATTTATTAACATAAATAGATTAATCAACTAAAACATGCCAAATGTAAAACTTATTTAACCCGAACATGTTAGTCAAAGGTGTGAAAGGTAGCAGGGCAGAGGTCATGAACTCAAGTCATTTTCCTTTGAGTTAGCCATCACAGCCCGTTTCAGTGCTTTGAATTATGTCTGTGACCTCAGATGACCTTTAGTTTGTATATTTTTGTGTTATCAGACTGATTTCCAAAATCTGTGTCCTGATGAAGAAAACATTAAAAACCAGCCGCTGCTTGTTAGATGAGGAGATCGTCTGAGATTTCCATAAGTACCTATTAAAGGGGAAAAGTCAAAGTAAAAGTCTCTCCTATGATTTACACAAAGGTCACAAATAATGCCTCTGAATGGAGCTCAACATCTGTATGTCTTTAACAGGGCAGCGTGCTGCACCTCCTCATTAAAGTTTTCCACCTCCATTGTAATTAAACTCGTGTTTCCTCTTCAGGAATCTTCCTCTTCCAGATCTTCCAGGACTGAGTGACAGTCCGACACTTTCCTGTGAAGAAGAGAAGACATGAAATGCTGCTGGTGACTCAGGATCATGTGTTAAAGAGCTTAATGACAGTTAGGTGCTACCAATGTGAGTCAATACCAGTGTTAATCAGTGTAATCAGAGTACTTCAGCATGTATGTGACTCATAATTTCTTCTAGCGTGTGATGTCATCTATAACTGCTCTTACGAGGACACCACAGTGTAAAACACATTTGCTGCTCATACTGACGTGTGATTGGTTCCCGGTTTTTAACCACCAGCACAGTGCAGAGAAGAGCAGCCAATCCAAAGAGTCCACAGGGTATCCCGTGGTTCCTGACCTGTGGAGCAGTCGGTGTGTTGGGATCCGGCTCTGTCCCTGAGACAGTAAGAAGTTTTGAGGAACAGCAGAGACGTGACTGAGACCAGCCTCTACTTTTATTATGTGCAGAATTACAGTGAGCTGTAATGAAACACACTCACATGTACGTGTGTCCGTCACACGCGTGTTAACTTCCTGCTGCTCAGATTTCCTCTCACTGTTATGGTCTGAAACATCCAAGCATTACACGTCTCTGTATTTATGTGTTGAATGATTTATATGATATAATATATTTCATTAAAAGCCTCTGAGCGTCACAGATTGGTATGATTTAATATTGCATGGGGTTATTCTCTGCTTGCTATACTCACCCACAACAGTCAGGCTAAAGTTTTGAGATGACCCATTTTTACTGATGATCTGACCGTTGTAGAGTCCGCTGTCGTTGGCAGTGAGGGATCGAATCATCAGAGAGCCGTTTGCATCCAGCTGGAACTTTTCTGATGGTTTAGTGTCATATGTTCCATTATCATAGCTGATGATGACTTTGTCCTTCGGACCATAAGACCAGACAATGTGAGCGTCTCTGTCTACCTCGGTGGCTCCAATGTCCATTCGTACATCCCCTCCAACCTTCCCCACCACTGGTTTAACATCACTCTGTCCACGAGCTCGACACACGGCCACTGTGAGAGACAGAGCGGGACACAGAGTGGTGGTGTTATGACTCAGCCCCGCCTGTGTGAGTGAACTCGAACCAGAGTTTGGAAGATACTCCACCGAAAATCACTCTGTGCTATTCAAACAACACGGTTTCTATGGAAACCACAAGGTTATTTTTCCAACATCACTTTGTTGACAGACTTTAATTTTCATTTAGTCTCGACTATGAATCAGGACTCAAACATCATGGTGGAGTCTAATTACTCCATCACCTCTCCCCCACCCTGCAGAGGTGGCACTTCACTGTGCAGTAAAAAGTGTGTGTGTGTGTCTGTCTCACTGGTAACTTTGCAGATACAGATTGTGTGGAAAACGTCTCTTATGGAGGGAAAAATGAAATAAATGAAACAACTACACCAGAAATCAGTCACAGCACGCGCTGCAGACAAAGAAAGAGCTGACAAGTTTACACAAATGCTTTTTGTTAACATCTGGTTACAGATACAAAGAAAAAACTACGTATAAAACTCTGCACTTCCCTGGCTCTGTGTGAGTTTCAACTTGCAAGTATGGATACTGACCCCATTTTTTCGTTTTAGCTGATTGATCAATGTCACATCAATCACAAATTTAACAATCCAGTCAGAGGTAAGAGAAGATAAGATAAGCTTTATTAGTCCCACACGTGGGAAATTTGTTTTGTCACAGCAGGAAGTGGACAGTGCAAAAGTTATGAGGCAAAAATTAGGATACAATAAGAATAAATACAGTACACAGCTGTACAGAATAGAATAAAATACTATATACAGTACAGGTGTGAAGGTTCTCAGTCATCAGGTCATCGTAGTCTAAGGAGGTTGGACAGAAACGCGTCTGGGCGTTTACATGCTCACACAGGGACCTCCAGAGCTTTTTCAGCGGCTCTGTGGACCTCGGTGTCGTGGAAACCCCCAAAACAATGTGTAAACCTGTGTAAATGATTTGAGTGCATAACAAGCTCTGAGGCAGACTCATCATAACCCTCCCAAAGCTCTCTGCACCCAAAGAACCAATAAAAGAGATCTTTTCTTATCTACAGCTGTCCTCATTATTTCTGAAGGAGCTAATTTAAACATTTCAGCATGCAGGACACTTTCACAGTGAGCCGTGGATAATGGAGATGGATCCATTCAGTCCTTTTGGTTCAAACACAAACCAAAAAATCTTTGAGTGGAATAAGGCGCTCAGTACCCTCTCTGCTATCTCTGCTTTGTGCGAGCGCACATTTGTGAAGTTGTGCCCTTGATCTGCATAATATCCACACTTCTGAAAGGCCAGCAAAGTGCACCATGATGAGGCCCATCGACCAGGCCAGCACAACGCAGTGTGGAAAAGATCACGGGAAAGAAAGGGGAAGGGAGCTAGAAGAGTCAGCGCAGCTTTAGGTTCTTCCTGAACAAGTT